TAATTTCAACTGGGGAGGAGCCAAAAGGAGAAGAAATAAAAATAAATTCTCTCTTACTTAACTGTAATGCAACTACAGTAAAAATTTAAATCCCCTCATAGAGCCTTTGTCACAACTATGCTGGCATAACTGCACTGAGAGCGCCTGCTGGCAGAGACACAGCTTATGTCGACAGAAGATGCTTTTCTGCTGACAGAGCAGTCCCATCATTTCAAACAAACTTTGTTCTTTCCTTTCAGAAGAGGAATTTTCTTTCAACATGCTGCTTCCTTGACCTGTCTGCACCACCACAGCTGGGCCTGCTCCACCAACTTACATGAACAGATTCACATCATTTCCAAGCGAGGAATTGCATTTCTCAAGTCAAAACACTTCTCTATTTTAACTTTCTGCAGTTATTTTTTTGAATTTTAATCTTTACATTCACTAAGAAGAATAAATACCAATTACTGTGACACTGGTATCAACCAACACAGCTCTATTCTGGGCATACAGATGAGGCTCAAGCTTATGGATACTTAAGTTACTTCAACATCATGTAAAAGAACTTATTATCTATGAGCTAAGGAAGTGTTATACAGATTTCAGAAGAGGAAAATGGTTAAGTAACAAAAGAAACTGATGCACAGAGATAATCCACTTTGATATTAAATTGGTTTATTTCCCAAGCCTTCTATGCAACTTACATACTCTACTTTAAAAGATTAAAAGGTCAACTTTTACACTATTACAAAAGCAATTTTTCCTTCTTTTCTAAAAAAGGAAATGTGAAAAACCAAGCACTAAAATACCAGTGAAAAACCCACCTGTGTATAAATTATTTTATTTTTAAAATAGAAATGACTACTCAAGATCATTGCTTGAATACTGCTTTCCAATCCTGTACTGCAAGAAGATGTACAGCAGTAACATACTGAAAAAACTGCATTTTCAGTTTTTGCTGCATTAACTTGAGTTAATTACTTGACAAAGGGACCAGGGTTGTTCATGCTCTGGGAACCTTTCCTAAATATCATTATTAACAAATGAGAAGAAAATATTTTAAAAATGGGAAATTGTTTCTGATCTCATTTCCTGGAGCCGAGCTCTAGAAGGGCTTCTTCACTTGGGTGCACACAACCTGTATGGCTAAAGTGCCAGTGCTGAATAGACCTTCATGGAGCACTGGGAAATATAGTAGAAAGACAGAGAGAACTGAGAAAACTTCATCTGCCCAGGTGCTTCTGCAATGAACTTTCCAGGGTAGCTCACAACACCATAATTTCTAAATTTTCCCCCTAAACATCCAGTATTTGGCTATTCTTGAACTAAATGAAAATCAGTCCAGACCTTCAGCTCTCAGAAATGTGTGCAAATGTCTGTTTAATGCCTACTGCTAGAGTTAGAGAGCCCAGTAGGTCTTAATTACTTGGACCAGTCTCAGCTGGGACTTCTACCCACACTCTCTGCTCTGGTGTCCAAGAATAGACTAGACTATTTCAGTTGGAAGGGACCTATGACGATCATCTAGTCCAACTGCCTGACCAATTCAAAGCTGAACAAGTTAAAGCATGGTATTAAGGGTGTTGTCTGAATGTCTCACACACTAATAGACTTGGGGCATCGAGCCCCTCTCTAGGAAGCCTGTTCCCACTGTTTGACCACCCTCTTCATAAAGAAATGCTTCCTAATGTCCAGTCTAAACCTCCCCTGGCACAGATTTAAACCATTCCCATGCGTCCTGTCACTGGATACCAAGGAGAAGAGATTGGCACCTCCCTCTCCAATGAGGGCGCCCCTCAGACTCTTTTTCTCCAAACTGGGCAAGCCTAGAGTCCTTAGATGCTCCTCACAGGACATTCCTTCCAGCCCTTTCACCAGCTTTGTTGCCCTCCTCTGGATGCATGCAAGGACCTTCACATTCTTCTTAAATTGTGGGGCCCAGGACTGCACACAGTACTCAAGGTGAGGCTGCACCAACGCTGAATACAGCAGGATAATCTCATCTTTTTACCGGCTGGTTATATTGCTGTTTCATGCACCCCAGGATGCAGTTTGCCCTCCTGGCTGCCAGGGCACACTGTTGACTCCTATTGAGCCTGCTGTCAACCAGCATCCCCAGATCCCTTTCTGCAGGGCTGCTTTCTAGCAACTCCACTCTCAATTTATACTTGCGCCCATCATTACTCCATCCCACGTGCAGAATCTGGCATTTTGACTTGTTAAATTTCTAGATTCCTCTGCAAAGTGTTTTGTCCCTCAAGAGAGTTAAACACACGTCCCAGTTTGATATCAGCAGCAAACCTGCTAATGGTGCATTCAATTCCTTCATCCAGATAGCTGATAAATATATTGAACAGTAGTGGCCCTAGAACTGAGCCCCAAGGAACACTGCCAGTGACTGGTTGCCAGCCAGATGTAGCCCCATTCACTACAACTCTTTGAGCTCTGCCCTTCAGCCAATTCTTCACCCAGCGCACTGTGAACCCACTCACCTCAGAGTTAGACAACTTGTCTGCAAGACAGCTGTGAGGGACGGTATCAAAAGCATTACTAAAATCCAGAAAAACTATATCCACTGCCTTCCCTTCATCTATTAGGTGGGTGACATTATCACAGAACAATATTAAATTAGTTAGAACAGGACTTTCCCTTTGTGACACCATGCGGACTGTGCCTGATGAATGCATTATTCTTTAAATTCCTTTCAATAATACTCAGTATAATCTTCCCCATAATTTTTCCAGGAACTGAGGTTAGACTAACATGTCTGCAGTTCCCCGGGTCTTCCCTTGTGCCCTTCTTGTAAATAGGGGTAACACTGGCTAGCTTCCTGTATCCTGGTTTTGGCTGGGATAGAGTTTATTTTCTCCCTAGAAGCAGGTATAGTGCTGTGTTTTTGATTTAGGATGAGAATAATGTTAATAACACACTGATGTTTTAGTTGCACTAAGCAGTGTTTACATTAAGTGAAGGATGTTTCAGCTCCTCACACCACCCCACCAGCGAGTGGGCTGGGGGGCACCAGAAGCTGGGAGGGGACACAGCTGGGACAGCTGAACCCAGAGATATTCCAAACCATAGTTTGTCATGCTCAGGATATAAACTGGGGGGAAAGTTGGCTGGGGACCACTGCTTGGGCATCAGTTGATGGGTGGTGAGCAATTGCATTGTGCATCACTTGTTTTGTATGTTCTAAGTCTATTATAATTTTCCCTCCTCCCCTTCCTTTTCTGACCTATTAAACTGTCTTTATCTCAACCCACAAAATTTACCTCCCTCTCTCCCCTCAATTCTCTCCCCCATCTCACTGGTGGGACAGGAGGTGAGTGAGTGGCTGTGTGGTGTTTAGCTGCCTGCTGAGTTAAATCACAACAATCTGGTCAGCAGGGACCTCCCCAGCCTCCCAAGGCCTATGATGTCTTGGGAGTAGCATGATCGAGAGGGCTCCTGCCATAACATCCGTTAGCCCCTTCAGCACTCTGGGATCAATTACATCAGGCCTCATGGACTTGTGAGCATTCAGCTGATTTCTTACAATTTCAGCGTACACAAATGAAAAGTTACTGTTCCCACACTCGTGGTCCTGATTCAGGGGACCAGTTAGCCCATGGTCTATCAATATTATTAAAGACTGAGACAAAACCCACATTGAATGTCTCTGCTTTTTTACTTTATCCCCATTAGTCAGATGACCATTTTCAACAAGTATCAGTCCAATGTTTTCTTTAGACCTCCTCTTGCTATTAACATACTTAAAGAAGCCCTTGTTATCAGAAACAACACTGGCCAGTTTTAACTCTAACTGAGCTTTGGCCTTTTGTGTCTTTTCCCTGCATACACAAACCATGGCTTTGTAATCTTCAATTTCACTTAAAACCAATGGGTTTCTAGCTGACAATTCTGATGGCAAATGTTACAACCATATTTCAAATTGCAAAGAGAAAAAAAGAGAAAAAAAATTGATCAAAACCATGAAGAGTTTGGTCTTGAATTTCAAAAGTACATCACACATTTTTTAATACTCCTGGGAGAAAACACAGCACAAACAGGAAGCTCAGTTACAACTAAAATTCTTTTAATATACCTTTTTTCCCCTCCTTTGAAATAATATACCATGCTTTAGGGAAGCATATTATTTACATTTGTTACATCTGAAGAAAAGAATGTACTTTAAGAACCCTAACTAGGAATCACTGGTCAACCACAGTAAGCTATGATATTAAGCTGATATATATCCTTTTCAGTAACAATGACAACAGGGTGGAGCATTCAAAATGGTATTTATACCAACAAAAATTATTTCTTTAAAGTTTAAATTTGAAGTTCAAGATCACTGTCTGTTCTGGAAACCAGGAAAACAATTCTGCACAAGTCTGAATTCTGGAGACTTAAAAGGCCGCACCCAGAAATATGGTAACATGAAGAGTGATGAGCTAGTAACTTTTGAGAAAAATGTGTTATTTCAAATGCAGTGACTGGATGCTGATAAGCAAATAATTTCTGCTGCTGTGTTTTAAAAAGACAGCTCTACTCAACTATCACTTCAGCTCTCTTGGGGAGGGGTTAACATATCCACAGAGGAACTTGCAGAAGGGAATGGATGTCTATATTTCTGCTGGTCAATACAGTAATTTAACATTTTAACAGAAACATATATTCACCAGACATTGCTACATTTGCATGGACTGCAGCTGAAGCAGCTCAGGTACACACACACTCACTATTCCACCAATATAGCTGTGAGTGCCCTAGTTTCTTAAATTGTCCAAGTATGATTCAGCAGAGTATATTTCAATACTGCAATTCAGTAATTGCACTGATATTTCAGTGTTGACATATTAGAATACAAAGAAACATTTGCTGAATAATTTTTAAGATGGCTGGTAATTTACTGAATACACTGAAGTTTAATCCATGAGATTATGTAATCTCCATTTGGAATGCTAAAGACCCAGAAATGTATTATTCCTTTTTGCTATATTTAACTAATAAGCACACAAACTGAGGAACCACCTTACCTGACAGAGTTTCGCCTCCTGTTTTCTATTTTCATTAAAATTCGTACATCTGACTGAGGAGACACTGTATAGATTTTTAATCTGAAAAAAAAAGAGTAACATGCAACAGAGATGAAGAAACAATGACATACAATGACTTTTCTTCCTATCATCAGTAAAAGACAGATCTTTTGCATGTCAACAGCCACAAGTATTTCTTCACAAAGACAATAATTTGCCACATAGTAAGTATTTCCTATAAATGAGGGCTGTAATTACTAGTATGTTTTTCTAATTACTCTAAAGAAAAGGTTCACTGTCACACCCACTGAAGTTAATTATGGTTACATTTTTTAGAATTACAATTGCTTTATTTGATCTTTAGGCCACGAGTCAATTTCTTAATCTTTTCCCGGTTTAAATTTGGTGGCTATACTCCAGGTTAGTTCGTTGGTCAGTGTTAGGATGGTTTTCATCACAGGAATTAAAAGATGTACTGCTGACTGAGAACTCATCTCTGCATGCTGAAAATGCAGCTAGTTTAAGCTATTTATTCAGAACCATTCCCTTCTTTTATTGGTGCATTAGATGAACTAGGCAGAAAAGTTATTCAATACACACCTTTGACAGACTACAGGATCTGACTCCACTGGATCAATGTATGGCTTAAGGATATCAGCGAGTATTTTATCGTCAGGCACCCTTTCAGTAAAGATAAAAATCAAATAACATAAGACATGGTTCATCATGTACACAAGAATCTACTATCTGAGTCATTTGGAGAAGGCTATATATTTGCACGCTACAGTGGCACAACTGAGTAGTTTACTGGAGGATCATAAATGTGTATCAATACAGCATAAATAATTGACAGCTTTATCTCAATTTCAACACTGGGACTTCACTGACATCTATAAGGAGTAAACAGATGCATATCTCTAGTTTCTAACCCTGCAGCAGAAACATGCTGTTCCTGCAGCCCTAGAACTAGACAAGGGCATACTTCTCATCCTCCTTCAGGCTAGGAAAAAAGGAGAAAGATTTGTCAACAGAAGCTTATTTTTTGGCCTTTGCAAAATGTGCTTGTGGGCTTTCCTACTAAGCAAACAATGCAACCATTTCATCCTATGTGAAGGTTAGCTCCCGTGTGCAGGCGAAGAAGGATGGCAAATCTTGCCTGAACGTCTGCTCTATGAGAGCAGAGCATATTAGGTGTACAGGATATCACTATCACGAATATACAAGCTGCTCTGCTTACACAGAGAAAAGGACTAGCAATCATTTACACTGATTTGAAAAGCCTTTTAGATTTCAAAGAGGAAAGGACTATACAACTTTAAGTATTTTTTCAATTTAAATGTCCTTTTAATTAAGACTAGAAATAATATTTGAGTTTACCTTGCATAATAGAAATAGATAAGAACTGATCAAAATATTTTCCAGTTCAATTTCAGCAGACATTTAAACTTTATAAAAACCTGTTTTTCAAGCTCTTTACCCTTTTAAAGTGTATTCAGCACGACAGTGAGGAAATATAAGCTTCAGATGCCAGTAGAACTTTTTCTCCCTGAAAAGAAACACATATTCTTAATGTCAGCTGGTAACTACTACTTGTTTTCTCTATGACAAAACTTGGTAGCCTATAGATAGGTGCAGAAGAAAATAAATAGTCAAGATTCTGAATGGCATTTTCAAAGCGTAAAAAGGGTATGCAGAGAAGCTGAGATGCACTTTGAAAGATGCAACACTTTCAGATCCTTCTGCATTCCAATCCTCATGGGACAAAAATTTGTTCCTTACAAATACGGGTAAGATATCACCAATTAACTGATCAACTGCATTTCACATTTTGAAAGGGAGCATCTTCCAGCTGACTTTCTATATGTATAGCTGCCCTCTAATTTCAGAAAAGAAAACTGCTTTTTGGCATATCACCCAGGACAGATTGCCAAACCTGTGCATCAGTAAGAGACAGAGGTCCTTGTTGAGGCCAGGTTCTACACAAAACAGGGGACTCATCTTTTCACAGCAGTGATGGCCTCAATAGAAAATGTTTCATGGGCAGGGAGGGAAGCTGCATTTTGGCATAACCTGGGTCACAGAAACTAGAAAGAATAAATGTTTTACAGAAAGATCAGGAAGCTAAGAATCAAAATTGACATCATGTTCCTTTCTCCAGTTTGTTTTAAGACCCATCTTCCCTGTCTAGCTAGCATAAATACCTGAGAATAGAAGCTACCAAAGCATGCTTCCAGTGCAATATCATCTTCAGAAAGGCAGTATTACCTGAGGGATACTTCACTAGATAAGGAAATCTCTTTTTGCCTTTTTACTCATCTGCAGAAACACCGCTGAAGTCAATATTGACTTAACTCATTGCTCCAAATTCTCCCATTCAGTATGGCAAGTGTAGCAGTATTTTTCTAAAAGAATCTCCTAAGAAAAAGCACAGTCTAAAAGGCAGGTACGTGGCCCTTTGTGCTGGTTCAGAATTTTACACTCATTACAAATGTCAGAGATTTGGAAGAGCCAAGTAGGGAACTACTACCATTTAGAAATCAGAGGCCAAATATCTATGTGAAGCATAGGAACATCTAATGGTACGCCCTTCCCAGCTTTTTCTAATTTTAAATTTTTTTTAAACACTACTTAAGACCTATGAATCATTATATCCAGAAAAATCACCATCAGTTATGCAAAGATTCTGGTACTACAATTAAAAGTAAACACAGTGTTCCAACATGTTGTTTATCAGGCAGATGAAACATTATCCAGCAGGTTCTAGCTGGCTGCAGAGACAAGTGTATGTGCATCCAGTAGCAAAACAGTAAACGTAGATGCTAAGTTCAATTAACTATTACAGTAATTTTTAAATGCAAGCACTTTATAAAAGGTGCTCTTATAAAATAAGTAATCATTCCCTTATATCTAGTTACTCCTGAGAAAAAAACCTGAGTTTTACAGCTGAACTATACTTTCCACAGTGTAAGTAAAATCAGAAGTGTGAGCGTTTACCAAAGTAAGAGCAAGCAAGAATCCCAGCTCCAAGGAGCTAATAATTAGGAAAAAAAGAACTAATGAAGGCCAAGGTCCCCAACGCAACATGTGGCTCAGCAGTTGTGCAGCATGTCTAGTGCTTCTTCTCCTTTATCTGCTCATGTTTGTTGAAGCTGAGAATGAGAGCCTTCCTTAAATAAGAAGGTGAAGTTAGAGCACATTAGATCTGAAAAAGCTACAAAGATTCTATGACCAGAGCTGGAGGACAACATAGAAAACATGACTAATTACATAGCATGTATATGCAGAAGCTGACATAGTACCCTGCCTCGTGAATTTTATGCTACTTTGCATATTGGTATGACGCTGCCTTAAATTACCAAACTGAAAACCAGTTTTGAAATAACTCAAAATAAGTGAGTGAAAGTTTGGAAGTCTTTTGCAAGATGAGTGAAACAAGGTTTTCCAGTTCTTCATCTTGACAGCTGAAGGAAACATCAACACTACCATACACATAGAGCAAACTGTAATGTTAACAGGTTTATGGAATCAGTTCAGTTGACTTGCGATTAACAAGTTTGTGATTCCTCTCATATATATTAGTATCTGTCATATAACATGGCATGGTATTAATTCAAAGCACTTTCCCAAGGACAGGACTCCTTAATAAAAGTTGGTAATCCTTAGACACAGAAATAGGGTCACCATCATTAAGATGCAGGAAATGCTAATGAGCACATTTATTAACATATTATAAGTACTGTTCAGATGAGGTTTTTGTCATATGTTACCAACTAACGTGAGGATTTCTAGTGTTTTTCATCTAACTCATCATCTTCCACAATTTTTTCAAACAGGCCATGTTTATCTACTCTTTAAGTGACCGGCCTTTACTGTGACATGGACTTACTTTCTGTCAAATTTTTAAATTGAGACAGCCAAAGCAATGGGAGTACTGCAGATCTTGTCTCCCAAGTGGAAAACAGACAAACCATGACACAGGTCACAGAGACACATATGTGGCCTAGAGGGCTGTCTCTAACACAGGCACTTGAAAGAGAAAGTTCCAGAAGTACTTCTAGCTGTCTGCTACCTGTTGTTAGGAATACTCTCCATGTGTCTGCAGAAATGGTCATCACACAGCACATTCTGATTTCACATGCAAGACCAGTTCCCTGTGGGCTCACTGAGGCAAACTCAGCTCATCACTGCAGCTGTATAATCAGCTTAAGAGGGTTCTTTTCAGACTTTCACCCTCCCTCCCCCTTCCAGGCACAATCCAGTCTATGCAATAGTGCACAGAAAAAGCTCTGAATTGGGGATTCTCAACACTGAAGTTTAAAAGATCATTCCTTGTCAAAAAGTTTCACTTTGGAAAAAAAGAAATGTTGATTTTATTTCAGCATGCCAATACCGAAATTGCAGTTAATTACTTCACCTCTCTTCAAAGTACGCTTGCCTGAAAGTAAATGGCAAGCAGAAAGAGGTAAAATAGATTAAGAACAGTGATGGAAGATGCAAGGAAAAAAGCAGCTTAGAATTGGAATAGCCTCACACTCTTTGCTGTACAATGAAGTATTGAAAAATAACCTGCTGGATGCCTGTTATTAAAGTGAAGCATCCCTCACTATCACTGATCTCTGCCCAGTTAGAGAACTTGATGTCAACCTTAGATGCTATCAAAGCTGCTTCACAACAAGTTCTGATTAAAATTAGATATCCTGGCTCCAGATCTCACTGACTTCATTTTCCATTATGGCTCACTGGGATAGTATTCCCTTCAAATATAACTGACATGTACTATGTTCATTTTCTAAATGAAAATGCTTAATTGAATAAGTCATCTGCAGCTGGGTAACAGCTCACTGCACGAAGTGTTCCATGCCGCTCAGCTGCCATAGAACGCCACTCCACAGCTTGATTGCTTGAATACCAAGGCACTGACTATAAAACTACCAAACGGCAGAGATCTGGACGAGGCACAAGCACATCCTTGATGTCAGTAAAAGCAGCATCACAGCCCATCCCTGCATTGCTTGGCTTCACATCCTATTTTTGCTACTTAAGAAGCATGGAAACCGATCAGAGAGAAGAAGAGGAGCCAAGCACCTCTTCCCCTGCGTGAGATGTAGTTGCAAATTATGTTCAGAACTGCACAGGCTGGTTTGCAATTATTGTTCTTCTAAAGAAAAATAAATGTCTCCCTTTCATTTCTCCTAAAAAATTATTTTCTACAATCAACTATAGTTTTAACACAACTACATGTAAATGATTTTTTTTTTTTTTTTTTCACAGCAACAACTGTAAGATTTTTTTTTCAATGTTACAAAGACAGCAGCAGTATACAGAAAGTGGCTGTTACCTTCAGCTAGAGCTCAGGACAACTGCAAAAATTCTCACCATCTTTTATAGTTAATGCACTACCTAAGGAGATGTTCCAGGTACTGTGGATATAGACAGTACAGCTGCTGGGAATTAGAGGGCAGATCTACAAAGGATTCTGGGACTTGGACATATCAGTTAAGTGCCTTGGCAGATTTTTAGAAATGTCCAATGTTTATGTATTTCTTAAATTATATATATGAAATATCCCATAAAACTTAACTTTTTTACCTAGGTTTCCTCTGAATGGTCAAAGTGCCAAATTGACTGCTGCACCTCTAACAACAGCTCACAAAAGAGCATGTTTCTATTTTCTTGAAACTTTACCAAGCTAATTCCTGGATTTGATGTATAAACAGTAAAACTGAAGTATTTCTACTAAAAGTTCGTATGTTTCCTAGATACAGTAAACAGCAAGACAATCAGTGAAGAAACTGAAAAGCACTTCCTTTATAACACACATGGTCTTCTATCAAGGGGCCTCCCAACAGCAGAAGATGTTACTAACCATGTGTTGCAATAATCAAACATGCTGGGCTTGAACTGAAGTCCTGTGTAAATCAAAGGGATGCTGTCAAGGCCCAAGTAATGCAAACTGTAATAATCTTTAGAGAATAAAACTACTGTCTTCTTTAACTTCTGCAAATAAACAAAATTACCATCAGATTCACTACGAGAATGAAACATTTCAGTTGCTAAAAAAAAGGAAAAATTTCAGGTACAGAACTCAGTCAGTACTCATCTTCACAAGGGGATGTTCTGAAAAGCCACCGATTTACTAAAATGCATCAATGTCCTGATCTCTGTTCACTTCAGAGTAGCATTCTTTTGCCTGGCTCCTTACTTTGGTGGGTCCTAGAAAGCAAGCAAAACTATGTACTAAGTAGTAACTAAATTCAAGTTTAACGGTTCTAACAGCGTAGTATTAGCCCCAAACCCAGCTCAGATAACTCCTTGTAAATTCTCAAAATCAGCAACACTTCAAACAATTTTAGTTATCCCTATCTAGTTTAGGATTAGAGTTGACATTTTAGGTTTTTCAGGTGTACCTCAAAGTAGCTGCTCTAACACAATGCTAATCCCAAATCTCCATGCTGTAATTTGTTTTCAGAATTAAATCAGAGAGAGAGTGAAAAAGATTCCTTCTTCACCCACGTGTATCATCTGATTGAATGCTCCCAAGCTGCAGGCATGCCTTCCGTGCGGGAGGAGGCTTGCAGCCCTCTGGCCCTATTTGGTGGGGAGGAGAGGTAAGAGGATTTTGTCTGTGGCGTGTTGTGAACAGAGGGGGGAGGAAGCTGGGTGGAGATGCCTATGACTGTGTAAGCAGCAGGGAGGGTTGGAGCAGGGCAGGAGCTGCCCTGACCCATTTCAGCGTCTCACTGCTGTCATCATCTCCCACCAGGGAACCAGGAGCCATGGAGTTGCAAGCCCCATTCCCTCTTCCTGTTTGAGGTTCTGCTGCCTGGAGCTCCCCAGTTGCTGCCCCAGGCCTCGTCCCAACCTGGTCATGTTCTCCACCCCTTTCCCAAAGGTTCCCTATCCCAGGAAGGCACTTCAACTCCATGGCAGCCTGTGTCCAGAAGGGGACCTACCACTTCTACTGGAAAATCAGGGTACCAGAGGAAAGGCAGGGTGAAAACAGGACACTAAAAATAATTTGTGAATCAGGAGTTCTAAACCATCCCTAAGTCAGATGTCCCATGAGTTCACAAACTGGACTCAGTCTACTTTCTAATGAACCTCCATTATCTACATTACAAGTTAGTCTAAGCCATGTGTTGCCCAGCATTGGCATGTACGCTTTCACAACACTGAATTTAGCAAACAAACTAATGGAAACCAGGAAATGAGGAGTCTGGTTAACACATCCAAACAACCGCTGATCTGCCTTCCAGAGCTGGCAGGGGATGACACAAGAATACATCTCATACTTCCTAGTTTTGGATTACTGTCATTCCTGCCTTGTACAGCCTAACAGTTTGGCTCACACGGAGAGAGTGAAGAGGACATCAGTGAAGACTGTTCTCAGCTTTCCACGCACATATGTTGAGCAGCTTCCAACCTGCACACCCTGGAGCAACCCCTTGACAAATCTCAACTGACAAACACCATGAGAAGAGCAGACACATCAGACTCTGACCACTGTCGGGTGTTAAGCTCATATAACACAATTATTTGTACAGCTTTACCCCATTTGAATGTAATCATCAACAAAATGCTATGGGTGTCATGAAGTCACATGGTATAGGTGTTAAATAGCTGATATTGGTTTGATCAGTCCTGAGGTTTGATTCCTCAGAAGCTTTTTTAAGCAGAGTAAGGAAAACATGCCAATTAAAAAAAAAAACCCCAAACAACCAAGCCAAAACCAAAAGTTCATTTTTAATTTGCATCATTGAATTCAAACAGCCTGTAGCAGCAAAAGAGAGGAAACATGTTGTTTGTGTAGTACTCACTGAGCATATTCATACCCTTAAACAGCATTTACAGGAAAGAGACAGTTACTCCTATCCTCTTAAGAATGGAGAATGTTATCACGTTCTTTCTGGTGGGATGTGAAAGTCCCAGAAAGGCTAGCATTCCAAACAACAAAAATACCCCAGGACTTTATGATTGACAAAAACCAGTAAGGCATTCTTCCAGGCATCTTGTGAAATATTTCCATGCCTATTTGCCAATAAGTTACCTTCCTTGCCCTTCTCTTAGTTTTTAAATCTGCTTGTTAACAAACATAAAGCACAATACATGTGGAAGTCTAATCTGCTCAAATCTGAATTTGTTCCCAACACAAGCTACACTTCAGTATGTACCCAAAAAGGCTTTCTACAAAAAAGTGAAAAACATGGTACATGAAGGCAAATTTCTGTCAGCACAATATTATACCACACCCAGGATCTTCCCAATAGTGTCAAACCTCCCTGTATTTGTGTCTTTTCTGTTCTGTCCTTCTCTTAGCTACTGATCCCAGCATGCCTGGGCTTTCTGCAATGGGCTCTGGCTCTTAAGAGACTACTCCATACCCTGTACTCCTTAAAGGGTGTTTATAATCGTTTTATCCACAGCATTAAGGAAATTCTCCAGGAAAGTTAAACTCAGCTCTAAGCCTGAGATACTTCAACAGCATTAGACTAGCACAAGATATCTGTAAAAGGTAGAGCATGTGGCCAAGGAAAAGAAAGCCAGTGAAGAGGCACACAGCCTCTGCACAAATGACTAATCTGCAAGGTTTAGGGCTACCGCCTGGTCTATTCTGAGAAGAGAGCCTCAGCGATATATAAATTTGGGGTGGATGATGGAGAAAACACCCCAGATTTCCTTTCTTTCCATTGGTCCACCTTGGGTTTTCTCTAGCAGAACTGGTAAAATCTGTAACTTTAAAAGGTTACACTTCTATATCTACTTTGTGTCTTATGTTCTGCTAAAACTATCTGCAAAACCAGAGCAGTAGGCTTCAGCTGCAGCACAGCAGAGATGAGAGGCAAGGCTGGGGAGCAGCGATTCGGGTCGCTGTTACTTGGTCAGAGAGAGACGCCTGGTGGCGGCCCCTCGGCCGGCCGGACCCCTCGCAGCCTCAACGTCCAGGGAACGGGGGAAAAGGCACCCTGCAAGCCAACTGCTGCCAAAACTCAGACCATGAAGAAAACAACTGGAGGAGCCATCTGGCTAGCAGGCACAGCTGATTACTGCGAGAAGCTCGTAAGGCATTTATACTTGCTCCCAGTAGATCATCAAGCTGAACTCTAGACCCGTTTCCTGCCATAATGAAATGCTTCGTAATTTTTATTTTTACTGTGAAAATACTTTAAAATACAAATGCTGGCTATCAGAGAAAACCCACAGAGTGGATAAAGGGAAGAACATTTAAAGTCTTCTTAGCCTTTTCCTGAATTCATATTGGTCTGCCTGCACTTGTCTGAGCTGTGCTGCATCCACATCCTCCAAGCACAGCGACTCCTAACACACAACAGTACAGGAACAGAAAGCACCTCTTCAGACTTAAAGTCTTCAGACTTTTAAGTCAGTCTTTTCAGAGAGGGGGATTTTTGCAATCATTCTACATTAATCCTCTACCACAAACCTTTAAAGAATTGTTTTCTTTTTCCAGCAGCAAAGCTCAATGTTAATTAAAAGATGGAAAACCACAACAGCACTGATACTTCCGTTACTCAATGTTGGTATGTTTCAAAATGAAAGCATAAATTGCATAAGATGTTAAAATGAGCTCAAAGAGCCTAAAAAATGAAAACCTGCAGCACGAAATACTAAAGCTAGATAGCTTTTGTAAAAAAAAATGTGTATCTAACAGATTTTAAACGCAACCATATCAGTATGAATTAAGATTCTCATCATTATGTGTTCAGTGAAAACAAAATATTGCAGATCATAACCAACTGCAGACTCACATGCAATTGAAGGTGGTTGAATTTTCTCTTCTTTTTGTAAATCCAATGGGCAGCGTTCTCAGGTCAATATCACACTTCCGAGCTTTGTTTCTTAAGATATATAACTAGCAAAAAAGAAAAACAATTTTTTAAAAGAAATCTGAGTAATATATTCAAAGTCTGACAGTTAAAAAGTAAGAGTAATGCTGACAGGAATTACAAGAAAATTGTAGAAAAGGCCACATTTAATGAAGTATTTTGACTTTTTTAAAACAAAATCATGAATGAAGAAGTTAATAAAGACTAGAAACCACCTGAAACATTTTCAGCTGAAGTTTTTCCATGGTTAAACAACAATATGCCCATGACCTCTATTTACTAGAAGTAAAAGTTCTTAAACATACCCTGAAAGCCATAGACAGCCATTGTGGGCTTAATACCATCCACACAGCTGGTTTCTGGGCTACAACTCCACTAGCAGAAGGGATGCACATAACACTACCTGAGCCACCCTGACAAATTCTGATTTGAAGGTAGCATTAAGAGTATCATCTCATAAACACGCCTAGTACCACACGGTAAAAACTGCTACCTATGAAGCATCTCACACCTTCAGTGCCTGTTTTCAAGACACCATGGTGATAAGTTCACACACACAGAGTATAACTTCACCCTTAGAGAAAGCTGGAGTCTTCTTAATCTACTTTGTAATCAACATCAGTTCTCTCCAACTGAGTTATTTAAAGATCTCATCACAAGACCAGAAAACAACATGGCCCTGATGCCTGTCTGTGACATATCAACGAGTCAAAGTATTTTGGAGCAGATTTAGGTTTTCTGCTAGTCAGGTGTGGTGGGTTTTTTTTGTTGTTTTTTTTTTTTTCCTTCCCCTCCTTTTGATCTTGGTCTTTGCAGTTTATTGTCATAAGACTTCCAAGAAATGTCACACACTTCTGTGATCTTGTTAATGCTTTACTGGAATTGGAAGAGTGTCAGCAAAAATCCCCTCTCATCCTTAGAAGGATGGCTTTTACTTCATTATTGCTTAGATTTATTCTTTGCAGAACTCTAGTTGCCTTCATTTGGTATATAGGGAAGCATTTTTAAATCCATTGTTTACCTGGGAATTTTGGGCTTAAAAATTCAAAGAAGTTGTTCAGGTGGAAAGAAGCATTCAGGAACTCTTAATGCACACCTATCATCAAACAGCAAGAGTGGTCATGTACCAGTTTTAAGAACCTACACTGTTAGCAATCTATTCTTCTAAGCAATTGAACTCAGCCATCAATGCTATTATTACATAAACCTAATTCTTTTGATTTCTGGCTCTAAAATTCAGGGTCATTCATACCTTCCTAAGAGAGCTATCAGCTGTGAAATCTGGATTGGGGCTGCCTTGGGAATTCAAAGGTAGTCAACCCTATCTCTAACAGGCCAAGCTGCTAATGCAAAACTTACAAGTTTTTTTGTTGCTGGACTATGCATAGTAGGATGTCGAGCAGCAGCATCAGCTGTCCTTCCTACATCTTCCAGGAAACGATAATCTGAAGGTAAAAAAAGAACAAGGAAAAAGGTAGTGCTAATCTAGTGAAAACAACAAATTTTAAAAAGCACAAGGGATACGTACCACTTAAAAGGTTCAAGTCAGTAAATTCATTTACAGAGACAAATGCCGTTTTATCCCTGACTCCGTTACAGCTCAGTGCAAGCTTATGCTTCTTCACACACAATAGGCTGAAATGACAAAAAGAAAAACATTAACATGCCACGCTTAGCATGAGTAGGGAAAAGCACCAAACCAGCTTAATTCAGGTAATAGATACCTGCACGAATATTTCATGCATCGTGGACATCTGTACTTAGCTTCCTCTTTGCTGCATGTTTCACATCTGAAAGAAGTAAAAAGCACCTCTTAATAAAGTGGCATCTTGGCACCTCACTGGCCTGGGAAGGTGCCTGCTCAACAACCAGGCACTATGCCATCAACTGACATTTTCAGGAAAAGGTATCTGAACCTTGAAAAAAGAAAGAGAAAATATAAGTACCCTTGATTGGGTAAGATGGCAGACAAAATAATGCAAGCTATGGGGAATATCTCCTAACACATACTGGGGTCTTACCTATGTTAAAACACAGCACAGATGCTTGGAAGAAAAATAAAAATCCTGTGCTAGAGCTGGAAGCACAGCAAGGCTGTATCAGTTTACGCTTTGTGGCCTGGTTACATCACCCGTAATGTGCATCCTACCATGCTGCCTTGTAATATTCCTGGTTTTAGGCAGATGGAAGATGTATGTCTAGAATTCACACTAGAACCTGAACACTACACCCCATTTTTTCATCAAACAGAACCATGACAATATCATCAGCAAAACTTCTTCTGGCTGTTAGCAGTGCAAACTCCAAAGTCTGAGAACCTCTCAGGTACAACATGTAAGGTTTATGAATATAACTAATAAATATTAACTCATTAAAAAAAATTTTCCTCTACAAGTAGAATCTCTGCTTTTTCACTAGGCTATTACAACAGATATTTATTCTATTCTTAGGAAAGAGTTCTTGATATATTAAATGAAATAACTGTCACTTTTCATTCAACTCCAACAAATGGGGAAGGGATATAACCCTCCTCCCCCCCCCCAGTAATGTCACAAACCCACCACTTTCAACTACTAGAGGAGAAATGTATAGAGGAAAAATATTTTTCTTGCTCTCCCCCCCACGGGCTCGCTGCCAGCTGCCAGTGGAAGAGGTGTGAAGGACAAGCTCAGCAGTACCATCTCCTGACGAGAAAGGGGCTCCATGTACTGGCAGCATAAAGCATTGTAAGAACAGAAAAAAAGGGTTTCATACACTGCAAGACAGAAACAGGAATTACTCCGAACAAGGATTCCTTTTGTCTTTTTAATCTCTCCACGGTGCCCAATGCAAGTTCGCAATCCAGCGGCAACACCAGGGAGGACTTCGCCAGTCAGCTGCGCGCAGGCCCCGCTTCACAAGCGGGCGCTGCTCCCCAGGGCAGGAGCAGCCCCCTCCCTGGTACGAACAGGAACGTCCCCGCAGCGGCGACTGCCCCTCTCCACAGAGGAGGAGCGAGAGGCGCGGCGCTGCCGCGCAGGACACGGCGATACCGGGCGCCTCGGGCACCTGCGGGCCCCGGCACCACCCGGGAGGGGCGGCCCCGCT